CTCATAGCAGCCGTTGTGTGGGTTGGTCTGAGTGAGGTCCCCCATATTCGAGGAGGTTTCTGTGTCTCTGGGTGTACACACGTGTATTTTGTGCACACAAAATGTAACCCATAAGATTTCAATATTTTTCTTACATTGCATTACTTAAGCCATTTAATTTGAATAGACTTTATTTTTTCTAAATTTTTAAATTAAATGTACCTGAAAAACTGTTTTCACCATCTTGATATTCTGTTGTGTTGGTAGCCTCTTGAGCTTTTATTCATTCAGTCATCAAGTTAGTGGACCATGTATCAAAAGGATGCATTGAACTCCCAGTGATTTGCGAATACTCTGTTAACTGATAATATGCCACAGTTGGTTCCCTCAGCCCAGTCAGCTCAGTGATGACCACGCCCACCTGTTCCCTCCCTATAAAGTGAGAAGGTGCAGGGCTTGGTAGGAGGAGAGTGGAGTGGGGAGACATGAGAAACTGTGGGCGTGGAGCTGAATGGTTTTTGAACTATTTCTGTTGCTGCTTCTCTTAACTTAGTACAAATAATTATAAACTATTTTAAAATTGCATTTATTTTCAGAATTTTCAGTGATTTCTTTTTGATTAGGTTCCGTTGTAAACACATGACTCTTGATGAAATGTGGTTTAAGGGGAGGAGCACTCACTGGTCTACAGGTCAGAAGGCTGTTCTAGTGCACGTTTTTCGGTACTGAACTGGGGAAGTGACACTGGGCAGGTGTTTTAATCTCTCTGTGCCCTGGTTTCTGTAACTGGAGATAATGGAAAGAGATGCCCTTTCCATATTTTATGGAGACAAAATGATAACCTTCAAACATTCTATAAAAACATCTGGGAAACATGTTTATGTTGGTGGTAATGATAACTAGTCTTAACTGTCCCTTTTGATTTTTTTTAATTCCTCACCCAAGGATATTTTATCAGTTAGAGAGGAAGGGAGGGAGTGGTGAGAGAGAGAGAGAGAGACATTGATACGAGAGAGAAGCATTGATTGGTTATCCCCTGTACATGCCCCAACCAAGACTGAACCAAAACCTAGGTATGTGCCCTACTGGAAATTGAATCCGTGACCTTTCAGTGTGTGGGACCATGCTCCAAACAACTGAACCACACACCTAGGGTTGAACTGTCCTTTTTACATACCGAAACTGAAAAGCACAGCCTTCAAAAGGAATTGAAGCAATCTTTTTTAAAGGATGTGTGCAGCAAGCCAAATGTAGTGAGTCAAGTTAGCAGACATTGAAATGTTAGGAAAACCATTGGAAACTTGCCTTTACTGATTTTGCAAGGCTGAGTTTTCATTCAGGTTAAAGGTTTGTTTTTCAACAGTTATGTGACTGCACAGCTTTTGTGGTAACAATGAAAATTCATGAGGGTGAAATCTGACATGTTGGGGGATTGTGGGTAGAAGAGTTGGGTAAGGTGACCACAGAGCAAGCATGTTGTAGAAGGGAGAGCAGAGGAAGATCACCTGTGTCCACCACAAGGCCGTACAGAAGGAAGTGTTGGCCAGGCCTGGAAGAAAGTTTGTGTATTTTTGGAGCTAAGCAAAAATTTTGCCCAATCACTCGAAAACAGAGTCACAGCAGTCACTGTTGCTCATTCTGAATGATTCCGAAGTTGCTTGGACTTTACATTGTGAGTTAACTTTCATGGCAGCTCCACTAATTGTGGTAGGTGGTAGCAAAGACAGCCCAAGTGTGTTGTTTGTGCAGAATGCCTTTTTGAGACTTAAAAGACCAGTTAAAAAATTATTTTTGTAATATAATGTGAAAATGGAGCTCTTTACAGTGCAGTGGTAGATACACAAGTCATGTTACCTTCAGGGAAGGAAGTGAGCTGTGCGGGTTTTATATTAAGAACTGTGGGTATTTACTGTTGTGTTTCTGTAATGACAAAAGTCTGCAGCCCACTTAAATGCCCTCAGACGTGAATGAGTGAATAAATCACTTATTGAATAGGTCCATACAGTATCATAGAATGCAGTCAATCCCCACCCCCCACAATTCTATTTAAAGAAAACTGTTTGTATTGTACATACATTGTTTTAAGAATGTTTATAAGCATATGTGTGAAGCCTAGAAAATGTATAGTTAGGGCCTTTTTTGTGGCAAAATACACATAAAATTTAGGGTTTTAACCCGTTTCAAGAGTACAGTTTAGTAACATTAACTACATTCACATTATTGTACAACCATCACCATCATTCAGGGTAGGGAAGTGTTACTCAGGTTGCTTTTAGAGTAAAAACTGAGTAAGATTACAACCTAAGGCTTTGCTGCTGTTCTTTGACACTAGACAAATTTAACTTTTGTTTCCATCTGTAAATGAGGATAGTACCTCTCTCATTAGCATTGTTATAAAGATTAAGCAAATGCATGTGTGTTTATGTGTGTGTTTGTATTTTTTCAAGCCTTATATAAAACAAACACTATATACTATATGTTGGCTGTTATTTTTACTAGTTACATGTGTGATCCTAAGGGTGTGAAGGGTAAAATATGACTTCAGAAACCAAATAAAGTGCTCTGTGTTTTTATAGATTAGATAACTTACTACTAGATAGGGTTTAGATCTGAAAGTATAAATAAATTAATATTCTTAGTGGAGTATGATGTACTACTTAGACCAGTTACAGTCTTTAAAAGATGCAGAGTATAAAAGTAATAAAAACAGATCATGTGCTGTGCTAGAGCAACCTTGGTTCTCACACAGTGCATCCGTGGCTCAGCACTGTTTTGGCTTAGATGGACATGATGGTAAAAATGAATTGATACTATTTTTTAATTCACCAAGGGAAAAGGGTTAGTAATAGTATTTTCTTAGGATTTTTCCATAAATTTGTCCTAATTGCTAGTATTTGTTATTACTTGAACAAGCAAAATAATTTAACTGTAAAACCAGAAATAATTACTTATATACCTGTCAGCTTTGTCTTTTTTTTATACTTTTTTTCTTGGTTGTACTCTGTTTTGGGGAGGACACGTGCTTCTGTTTGAGTGGAAATTGCAGATACATATAATACAGGCATGTTCTGGTTACTGAATTGAACATGTCTTTGATGTGGCTGTTTCCCTGTCCCCCTTCCCCCTACAGTTTGTGGGTCAGAGCACCACTGGCTTACATGTCCTTGGATTGCATTTATTTAACTGAGCTGCAGTGATACCACAAAGGTGGTCCTTTAGTTGTGCTTTTAATCTAGAAGTTCTTGTCCTTTTAAAATATTTTATTCCTGGTTTATATTTACATGATGTACTGTATACTTCATGTAGGTGGAATGTGGAATGGACTAGAAAACATAAAATAAGATCTTCAAAGAGGTCTAACTTAAAATGTTTCCATTTTAAAAGGGTTAAAAATGAAAAAATTACTTTCATATATGAGTTACTTGCATGTTTTTATGTCACAGTTGTGTCTTAGCTTAAAATTCTATATGTTATATATTAGTAATCTGTGCATTGCTTTATTGCTTCAATCTTCATTTGTACATAGTGAATGTGTAATACATATGATTCTGATAATGTATCACTGGAAATGACTGGAAAATATTTGCAGTTGACCTCTTCCAAACCTTTTGTGGATTTCACACACTCTTTTATAAGCTAGGTAGTAAAAAATACTTTGTGGTAATTTATTCATTGAAATGAATAATTTGTGATTCCCTGAAGTTTCAAACAGGATATGTGATACCAATTTCTATCTTTCTACTTAAAAAAAGAGAAGAAACCCATGAGTTTCTCTGGGTTGTGGAAGAAATATCCAGGACATGACAGCCCTTCCATTATTTTTGTCAAATATTTACGTATCTGTTCTGTGTAAGACATCTCACTCAGTTTTAAAGAACTTTTAAAAGATGACTGATTTGCCTTTTTACAAGTGTATGATATATCAAAAGCAGATCAAATAAGATCACAAATTGTTAAAACAGAAGCTCAAATGGGATGTAAATCCCAGAGATTGGAGTTATGATCTTCTGAACTGTTGGCTGTGGCCACAAGAAACTGACCTGTGGGGGATGTTCCATGTCCTGGAATTCAGTGCTTGCAGATGCCACCTTACTCCACTCCACCTCCAACCTTACACTTTGTAAATTCCACGCTAATGTAAACAGGAGATACTTAACAACATTTTTTGAATGATAGGGTGAGCAGGAAGCTGGTACAGGGTGTCGGCACCCCATCAGAGTTCCTTTCCCGGTACAGTTCAGTGGCTTGGTACTGCCACCGTGGAAGTGGCTGTCCTTGAATACAGAAAGGGTTTGTTTCAGAGTTTCATGAATACATATGTAGAATCGGTAGTGTTTTATTTCCCTTCCTCCCTTCCTTCTTCTTCCCCTTCCTCCTCTTCCCTCTCTCCATCCATCCAGTTTTTTTCCCTTATAGTAACTTTAAAAGTCAACATTTCAAATCATCAACATTTTTTTCCAAAGTAGGTATTGACGATACACAGTGATATCCAAAAAACACTCACATACATTTCTGAAGAGGCACTGTTTGTAAGAATGTGGTATCAGATCCCAGCGTAGCCAGTAAACTCAGAAGTAGTGTCTGTCTCATGAAGTTTGGGATATTAAATGAATTAACGTATGCAAAGTAGTCAGAACAGTGCTGGGCACATAAGGAAGTGTCAGGGTACAGAGCAATGTGATGTCATTTGTTAAAAAGGGGTTTTTGGATATGAGCCTAGAATGGGTGTGTGTACAGAATAATTTGATGTCATTTGTTAAAAAGGGGGTCTTGGATATGAGCCTAGAATGGGTGTGTGTATATAAATACACACATACACAAAGTCTATTTGGGTTTACAGAATGAGTATAAAATATGATGGGTAAAAATTGTTTCTGGGAGAATAAACAAAACTGGAAATGGTTACTTTGATGATGAGTGTCAACTTTTTCAACTGTTCTTTTAGCCATATATTTTTAAAATAATGCCATGTTTCAAGTATTAAGAGATTCTGTTTTAAGACAAGAATTTGTTCTTCTTAGATGGTCCTGCTGAGGCACCAGTGGCCAATGGGAACACGACCACAGTGCCCACTCTGAATGATGATCTGGACATCTTTGGACCAATGATTTCAAATCCCTTACCTGCAACTGTCATGTCCCCAGCTCAGGTATGTGATAAGAATATGGTCTCACATACTCACTGCTTATTTACTTTCTGCAAAGTTCTGAAATTTCAACTTTGAAAGAATTATTTCTGAGGTGTCACTGATATGAAAGCTCCTGTTCTTTAGACCATGTGTTGACAAACTAAGCCTGATGCTTGTTGGCAAATAAAGTTTTATTGGAACACAACCACTCCCATCATTTACATATCATCTGTGCCTGCTTTCACACTGAAAACACAAGTTGAATAGTTAGAACGGACACCATATGACCCACAAAGCCTAAATAATCACTGCCTAAGGTTTGCTGACTTTTGCTTTAGGAAAACAGGGGTGTTTACAATGAACAAGTGGGAAAACCCAGACTATTGTAGCCTTTCCTGAGATCAACAGGGTCACTTACTTAGAGTTCATAAACTGAGTGTGTAACTACAGACTGGAGGCTGGTAGTTCTTTCCTTCTGCTGTACTGAGCCATCCCCAAGTAGTGTTCACTTCTGGCTGCAGGAAAAGTAAAAATGAGAACTTCTAGACAGTTCCATATTCATATTCTTTATTATGAAGAGAAATTGTTTTAAGTTAGCCTTCAAACCTTTTTTATTTTAGTGATTTTTAAAAAGCTATTTAGAGCATAATATTAATGGTCAGGATTTTTAGGTGAAGAAATTTTGAATTGCCTTCTGATTATTACATGGAATTTCTTTATTTGCCTGTATTATTTTTAATCACAAATTGATACTTTAAATACTACTTCAGCTTTATTGAGATGTGACTGGCAAAATTATAATATATTTTAATCATAAAACATAATGATTTGATATATGCATACATTGTACATTTTTACTTTTTGGGTAGGTATGAGAACACAAGTTCTACTCCCAGCAAATTTCAGTTATACAATAAGTATACTGTGTTTTGCCACGTATAATGTGCACTTTTTTGCCCAAATTTTTGAGGGAAAAATAAGGGCAAACATTATACATAGGTAGTACTAATTCCATATGTAAATACTGTGAATTTGTTACCAGTGCATAAAATTTCTTGTGCCCTGTATGTATTCTTATGTTTTGTAACTATTTGTTACATAAAATGTACCATAATATGTTAAAAATAAATGCTAAAATTCCTTTATAATATAAAAAACGAGTATCTAAGTAAATACATAAATGAATTGAAAAATTAAAATGAAAAAAATTTTTTTGAAAGTTTAGGCCAAAAACATGGGTGCGCATTAGACACAGGAGCGCATTAGACACGGCAGCACATTAGACACAGCAAAATACGGTAATCAGCTGTAGTCACCACATTACATTGCACTTTAGATCCTCAGACCTTACTCCTCTCAGCTGAAAGTGTGCATTGTATTTTTTATTTGTACCCTGAAAGGGTTACCCAGCCCCCTGTATTTCCTCCACCCCTACACGTACAAGTGCTACCATGCAGTCAGTTGTATGGTATCTGTCTTTAAGGTGAAATACTAACTTTCAGGAATATGGATAACTCTTAAGCATAAAATTTTAAGGTTTTATTTTAAATTTGTACTTTACAAATAACCAGTTTGTTTCAGGGCAGCATAATTTTTGAGGTAAAATATTTCCTTTTCTCTAGAAAAACTGAACCTAATTGGAATTGTTTGGATGGAAAGTTTTAATATGGAGGAAGTTATATCTTACTGAAAAGACTAATTACATATATTTTTGTTTTACATATCTATTGTTACGGCAGTCATTGTGTAATTTCTACCAGAATTGAGCACATGGATTTCTTAGGAATATTAGTTTAAATGCCTGTTATCAAAATCGTCTTCAGCATTAATGTTTATTTTCAGAAAAATAACTTCATTTTATGGCTGACCCCCTTCTCTCCCACTCCCCGGATGAAGTGTTGCTGCTGATGTTTCAGTCGACATTAATTATCTTGTGAAATTGTGCAGGTTTGGGTGTGCATGTGTTAAAAAAATGTCTAATGCTAATGTGGCTTTAGAAAGAAGGATTTAAGATATTTGACAGTCTGAGTTTGAGAAGCAATTTCTTTTGGTCTAGCATTCTAGCACAGTTGCTTTAGCTGCTAGACTGCCTTAGATTCCACTGGGGCATGAGAGTGGCCTTGAACCGCTTGGAGAATTAGACCCACATCTGAGGCTTCCGTGCACTCATATATTCTGTTCAGTATCAAAGCAGCAACTGCTGACTTTATTCAACTGCTGAGTATAAGTAGAGCCGTGACAAGAGTGAATGTGGATAGCTTCTGACGTCACGAGGGTTGGTCTGGCCTTCATGCTTTGGGCACGCTGCATCACTAACTGGCAGGACACCGGGGCTGGTGTTTTTAATCACACCTGACTCTCTTTTTCAGACATTGTTTTTGAACCAAGTGCCCATTTTATTGAACCCTATAAAATATTTGGTGAACAGTGAAGATCCAAATCCAGACATATTTTCAAAGTAGTATCTTTGAAATGGGGGTAGGTGGGTTAAAGTATACTTTTTATGCATAAACTGGTAATACATAACTAATTTTGGTGGGGTTTTATTACATGAAATTGATTGGAACACCAATACTGTTGACCCCTGAACGATGTGGGGGCACCAACTCCAAGCGGTCAAAAGTCTGCATATAACTTTTGACTCCTCAAAACTTTATTAGTATTTTACTGTTGACCAGAAGCCTTACTGATAACAGTCAACACACATTTTGTATATGTGTATTATATATTGTATTCTTACAATAGAATAAGCTAAAGGAAAAAAAAAACATTAGAATTGTAAGAAAAAAAATACACTTGCAGTACTGTATTTACGAAAAAATCCGGTTTAAGTTTACCTGCATAGTTTAAACCTGTTGTACAAGGATCAGCTGCACTCTGGATCCTGTATTCACTCCTGATTTTATTTTCTGAGCATAGCACAAATTCTAGTAACACACTTTCCCTCTCATGTGAACATGAGATAGATGGCTTTACTTGTCTGGCTCCTTAGTCTCCCCTAAGGAGATTGGAGATGATCACCAGAGTGTATATGTATACTGGGGGGTTGAAGGGAATTGTTCCAGTCCCTAAAGGTGACATGCAGAAGGGCACATCCCTTTCCTTTTTCATCTGTAACGTATATATACCAACAGTGTCTGGACCTGCAGAAGTGCTGTGGCCTGTACTCTCAGCCCTGGGAATTCCAGTCAGTCAGAAAGCCTTTGCTCAGGGATCCTGCAGCCTCCTAAAGCGAAAAATAACAGGCAAAATTTTTATCCTAAAGTTGTAGTACTGGCAAAGGGGACACCAGAAATAATAAATGGTCATTTGAGTGCTCACTAGCCATTTGGTTTGGCCGTCTTTAGACTATGTCCATGCTGAGGTAGATGCGCTCTACGTTACCTACCTTCATCGAAAGGAGTACCTTTGTTTAAAGCATGCGAGTATTGGTTAGGCCGCTCTAGTGAGACTGGAGTCATGTATCTTTTTCACAGGGAATAGAACTCAGGGTTTGAGCAGGTTCTCGGATTGAACAGAAACTACACATGATGAAAAGATCACTTGGTGAGGTGGCTGCTTTGTTTTCTAACAATACTGACCGTAAATACTGTGCACTCATCCCTCCTGCTGTGCGAAACCTGTCTTGTGGCCATTGAACGACTCTTTAAGGTGGGTGGTGGTGTTACCCCGTTTTGCAGTAGAGGGGAAGTGGACATTAAGTGAATGTGATGGCACAGTTACTGCAGTAAACGTGGGCTCTAATCCGGCACCGGCAGGCAGCCCCAGAGCCCAGGCTCTTAGCTTCTGAGGTCTTTGCTGCTTTGTTGGTAGTTCAGGTGCATTTGTTACATTTGGTATTTCATTGTGTCCAATTTTACACATTTCAGATCTTTCACAAAATTAAGTGGCTTTTTCTTTCTATCTAAAAATTCTTGCTTAATTAGTCATAATAGATTCAAAATATTACTCTGCCTAAGTTAGTTTGTAAGTACAATGCTTGAGTGGTAATTTATTGTAAGGCTTTTTTTGGCAAAGATGTTAAATGTTTGGATTTTTTAAAAATTCAAGGTAAATCATATACATAATTTTTAACTTTTATTTTCTACTCACCTTATTCTATATTTTGAGAAGACATACTCAGTTTTTACTAGTCTTCCTAGAATTCTTTGAAACTCCTCTTATCTAAAACAATTTCATATAAACAAATGTGATTGAAAATTAATGACTGCATAGATTGTTACACTTAGGTTATCAGTTGTGATTGGATGACACCGTGTGAAAGGTAGAAGGCACTGTGAAATTTTTTGGTTTTGTATTAAATATCCACATGTCTATTTGGGTTTGTGGACTGAGATCTGGCTTGAGAGGACAGGTGGTTAAAGGACTTCCTGTTTTCTGGAAAGCAAGTACTTCATTGGTTCTGCTGTACTTTGTTTCTGGAAAGGAGTGAAGCATTCTAAGGTTGTGGTTAAAACTGATCTAGATTACATTTATAAGAATGTTGCAGTGCAGCTTTTGAAAAGCTTGTTTTAAAAAGAAGACAGAACCAGCCTTCGCAGCACCCCCTTACAGCCTTCTGTGGTAGTACAGGTGTATTTGATTCCAAGGGACGCCAGCTCCTTGAAGCAGTAGGTGCTGAGCAATAGTGGTGCTCACAGAGCAACCACGTCCCCCTGCCTGCTGCTGAACCCATTCTGGGCAGGACGCGGTACAAAAATCAGCATCAGTCGAGCAGGTAAACACAACTTACTATGAAAGGGTTTTTGGTCTACCTCTTCTGCATTAATACATTCAAAATAGGAAACATTTGTACCTTTATCCTAGATGTTTTCATGTGGGCTGTGAGTGATCTTTAATGTCTGTTTTACCTTCTACAGTTGTTCAATTTCTAATTTCATAACTGTACTTGGATTTGAAGTAATGGATGAGCCATGTTTTAGTATGGAGGATTCAGCAACATGTTTTGGTGTTTGTCTCAGGGGACGTCCTCTGTACCAGCAGCTGCCACTGTGTCTACAGTACCATCTGGGGATCTGGATCTCTTCACTGACCAAACAACAAAGTCAGAAGAGGTGGCAAAGAAACAGCTCTCCAAAGACTCCATCCTGTCTCTGTACGGCACAGGGGCCGTTCCGCAGCAGAGCGCTCCTGGTAACGCACCCTGACCCTGCTTTCAGGGCCCGCAGTGACACTGCTAGAAGTGTATCCTTTGTGGTTATAATAGGATCAGTCATACATCTTCCCCAGTTTTTGTGTGATGGGTGCTGTGTTGTTCCAGTGTACACAACTACAGAAGTAAATGTAGTAGAGTTAAAAAGCAGGTACAGGACTCACAAAACTTTATTCATTAAGAATTAACAAGCTGTTCACATATCACTTAAAATATTGTTTCACAAGCTTATAGGAGGACATGGATTATCTTTGAAGAATTATGTCAGTTTGATTTGCATGAAGTCTCTAACTGTGTACAGTATGGTATCTTCTCTGCAAGTAAACAATAAGCAGTCTGAATTACCACCTGAATTCCAAAAAAGGTTTGAAATTTTAAAAGTAATTATAATGAAATACTAGCATGGTAAAATTTGTTGTTTACATAGTTTAAATCTGTCAGATTCTCTCAAAGTAATGAACTTCATTTCATATCTGAACTGAAATCCCAACTGTTGGCCTTACAGCCAGACACTGGGGTGGAGACTAGTGGTACAAGTCAGCAGAAATGGCTCAGCCTCTAATGCGATGCAGTCAGTCTTCACTCACAATGGATATTTTACTATAACATATTCTATTACTAGATTTATTTCTTCTGATTAAAAGTGCTCAGGTTCATAGCGGATTTGTGTGCATTTTGGAACTAAGTAGCTCTGAGAGAGTGGGGTGTGAGCTGGTCTGAGCAATAGGAGCGGCCGAACCCAAATTAAAATTTTTGCTGTGCCATCATAGAGGTGAATGCAGCTGTGTACAATAGCCCTGTTCTCGTGATTCATTTTCTTTTTTCATGTTTCTTATGATGCAGGTGTATTTATGGGACCCACAAATGTACCATTTACCTCACAAGCACCAACTGCATTTCAAGGTTTCCCGTCGATGGGCGTACCTGTGCCTGCGGCTCCTGGCCTCATAGGAAACGTGATGGGACAGAGTGCGGGCATGATGGTGGGCATGCCCGTATCCAATGGGTTTGTGGGAGGTGCACAGACTGGCGTGGTGCCACTGCCGCAGAACGTGATCGCCCCCCAAGGCGGAATGGTGGGGCAGATGAGCGCGCCCCAGAGTAAGTTCGGCCTGCAGCAAGCCCAGCCGCCCCAGTGGAGCCTGTCACAGGTAGGGGCCCTCTGCTCTCTGCCTCACCCAAAGTCGGAGAGATGAGGTTACCTTCTAAATGGTTTTGTTCACATTTAAATCTAACACGTGGCAGAGGGAATTGAGGAGGGATAATGAAGTTATATCAGAGTATTCTGTAAAGAAGTGCTGAGCATTTTGTCATTTCAATAACGTTAATATCCCTCATCTAGTTGTAACAGCTAGAAATTATCTTGGGCATTTTAAGAGACTGACTGCCACCTTTGAAATTAGCAGCAAGCTTTAACCCAGTTCCCGGGTGGGGTGTTTTTATAGTCTACTTAGACCACCCAACCTGTCTTCACTAATTTGGTGGGGCAGGAGGGAGGTATAGCTTTCACAAAGTACTCATAGTTTATAGTATAACACAAAGTTTATAGTTAGCCAAGCAGTCTCATAGTCTTACAGCACTATTTTGTGAGGGAAAGAGGCAGGTCACCAGGTCATGTGGCTACTGTTCATGGATTTATAAAAACTCTTTTTGTTCAAAAACCTTTGTAAAGTTCTATTTCCTTTTATTTATCCTATAATTAGGTTTATACTTTTAGAAAGTACCCACTAGTTCAAGAATTTCCATAAGATATGAACCAGTCTATATTATCCTGTTTCTATCTCAGTCGAGAGCTGAGAGAGGGCACATTAGTACGATCTTTAGACTTCAGTTCATGGTCCTGCTCCTCTTCCCTTTACACTTCCTAGTTGCTGTTTTTGCAGCATTTTCATGACCTTGACTCCTGCTCAGCTGTTCTACCTTGAGAGCATTCAAGGAGTAGTCTGTAGTCACTTCTCACCAATATTAGCAAAATCACTGCGTATCCTGGGAATGCTCCAAGTTATTTTTACTGTCACTATTTAAAGTAATATCTTGTATTACATTGGTCTGTACTCTCTAGGAATCTCGAAGATTATAAAGACCAAATGGCAGTAAAAGCTTTTCTGTAGCCAAAATGCTGAACCACAGCCAGCTGAGGTTAAGGTGCTGGATCAGCCTGTAAGGCATTACCTGTGGGTTCTGTTTGGCCAGTGAGCGGGCAGTTAAAACACCCTTTAGTAGGTATCTGCCCCTGCAGACACTTACGTGTCCTTAGTGATGTGATTAACACTAGTATCTGAAAAATTGCAGCTTTAAACTTGATTAAGAATACAATCCAACCCTGTGCATAGGTTTTGAATCCACTCTGTACTTTGTAGTCAGCCCTGTTGCCTTTCCTCAACCTGTCGTCAACCTTAGAGGTAAGAAAGAGAACCACAGAAGGAGGGTTGAGATGGTTATATACATACAATATACACACGTGACTTCGGTCTGAAAGAAAAATATACGAAGTCTTATACCTTACTATAGAATGAAAACTTCAGATGTTTATAGTTAGCCAAGCAAAAGAAAAGTGTATCCTTTCTGACCTTTAATATATAGAAAGTATATATAGCCATTTAAGATTTTGAGGAAGGCAGAATAGTGTTACACACTATTGATAATTTTGGCATATTTTACTTTCTAAAATTTCCGGTCTTTAGTAGTTAAACCACTGTATAGTTGAAATTTAGAATAGTGGACCCAGATACAATTGCAAAGATTGCTTTGGCACTTTCCAGTTGTGGTGAATCCTTGGGGGACAGGAATTGAGTGTAGAAAATGAACCCAAATGCTGGAGTTCACTTTATTTCCTTCCAGCTTTTAGCACTATCCATAAAGAACAGGAAGGGAACAGTAGCTGTTTGTTTTCTGCAGAGAAATAATTGTGTTGTCTGCTTCTAATAAAATAGACATTTTAATAGTTACCCTAACTGTGGCTAAAAAACAAGAAAAGTGAAGCAAGCTTGGGAACAACTCTAATTGAACAATTAAAAAAATGAAGTAAGCTTCTTAAACTAAGCCCTTTATGTGTTTCCCAGATGAATCAGCAGATGGCTGGCATGAGCGTCGGCAGTGCGAACGCCGCCGCGGGCTTCGGCCAGCCCCCCAGCACCACGGCAGGGTGGTCTGGGAGCCCGTCAGGTCAGACTCTCAGCACGCAGCTGTGGAAGTGAAGACTGCAGCGCTCGTTTGGGCCGGAACTGCCACCTGACATTCCTTGCTGAAATGCATCCAGTACCCCAGTTTGTTCCTGTACATACATATTTTTTCTTTTTCCCCATTGGTTCACATTAAGAATGATCAGATTGACTGTGTTGGTTTGTACTGCTGAAATTTGATGTGGTGAAAACCAGGTTGAGAAACTGTTTTATGTCAAGGGCAGCTTTGCTCATATTTCCCATAACTTCATAAACCATATTATTTGAGAAGCTGCTCAACTTGCAAAATCAGTTTTACTCTCAGTAAAATTATAGCTCTAATGTTTGCATATAAGGGAAATAGTTATCATGTTAGTAATACATCTAACAGTATAAACCCCACCCCCAAATTAGCCAGTAATCTTGTAGGAAGGTACTGTATGATCAGATGTTTAATCATATAAATAGAATGTAAATGTGTCACTGAGCACCCTTTTCTGGTGTATCAAAATTCTTTTACTTCATCATTCACTTCACTGTGCTGTTGTTATGATGTGCTTAACAGGGAACATGGTTAGTGAAAGGAAGATAAACCTGGATGTTACTGTAAAACTTAGTTTAATGAATAGAATTCAAATTTTGTCTGCCTCTCTTATAATTTGGATCTCTTACTGTACATAGTGCTAGCATGAAGACCTTTCTCTGCACTATATGCGAACAGGGTAACTAAACAAAGCCACTTTAAATCCTTGAAGGTATATCCAGGTTTATGACAGTAATTGTGTTTACATTTTATGGTGCCTAGTATTGAAAAAATGTTCTATCCCTATATTAAATAGATGAATCCACAGACCTTTTATTTGTGGGTTTTATTTCCTACAATGTGTGCTGCCACCACCCTTGCATAAATTACTTAATGTTGTGGAGTCAGGAATTGGGGACGAAATTTAGTTGACAAAATACTTGTCATCTGTTTCTAAAACCTGTTCAGTTCTAATAAGGGCAAATGGGGGAAAAAAGAAAAGTGTGTCTGATACTCAGAATGGTACTTGCAGTGTCATTAGCTGTGCTGTGCAAAGATCTTCCAGTTTAGGTATAGAGGAAACATGTAACACAGAGACAAACAACGTTTTATACCGTCCGATTAGCTTATGTTAACTGACGAGCTCTGTTTAACCAGATGTCCATCAGGTGTCAATAAAGGCTGTTGTACTGAAGTGAAATGAATAATACCTGAATGCTCTGTAGCCTGACCTCCAAACGTCCTCTTCCACATCCCCTGGCCATGCAGACTGCATCCACTGCTGCTTCTATTTACACCTCAATCTTCACTGTGTCCAGGTGGTACTTGGGCTCGTTGGCCAGATTAACCTTCTCTGTCCGAGTGTGCCACACAAGAACCTGAAGGGCGGGGAGGGAAACCTCGTGGGTAGCCGGACTCTTAATGCTGACACTGGACAAGCTCAAGCGGCACATGTGAAATCAATACCTTGGTGCAGTTATTTGCTTTCGGTTCCAGTTCTTCGACTGTTGTTATCTGTTTTAGGAAGTCAGATTCTTGCATCCCTGGCTGGGATCCACGGCGCTTAAATACAGCTTTTGGATTGGACAAGATGACTTGAAGGCTTACAGCAAATCCTTTGTGAAAAGTTAAAAAAAAGACTGTAAAATAATATTGGCGTACTTATCTTTTTTCCTATATAATTTTGGTCACATCAAAAACAGTTGTATAGCCCTGACTGGTGTGACTCAGTTGGTTGGGCATCGTCCCATAAATGAAAAGGTCACCGGTTCAGTCCCCCATCAGGGCACATGCTTGGGTTGCAGGCTGGGTCCCCGGCTTGGGGTGTGCGGGAGGAAACCATTGGTGTTTCTCTTGAGCATCAGTGTCTTTCTCTCTCTCCCTCTCTTTCTCCTTCCCTTCCCTCTCTCCAAATATAAGTTAATAAAATGTTTTTTAAAAGATCAGTTTTCTATGCCTACTCTGCCAGGTCTCTTGGTGGCCAAGTTGAATAGGAATGTTATCTGTAGTCGCAAAGGGAAAACAAGCCATTACAGTAGAGGGCGTTCAGTGCCATGACAGAGTTATGCCGCTGCGCGTCTACTGTAAAGTATGTAAGTCTGCTGTGTTTCACAGAGGTCATCAAACTCTGTATTGGACATTCTGGAAACAACTAAGACCTAAATGGAGCTGAAAAGCAGTCAGACGTCCCCCAACTCTCCTTGAGGTATGAGAGCACCCACCCAGTTCCCCTGCCTGTCCCTTTAACATACCCAGCTCGGATTTACTTTGTTTAGAAGCCTGAGGAGTAGAAGTAAAGTTAGTGTTAGAACATGAATAATACATAATTATTTAGTTTAAATTTCTGATTTGGTTCAATCTGAAAAAGGTGGACAGGCTGGAAATCAGAAGATACCAGACCATTTAATAATTTTTTTGTATTTCATTTTTTAAGGAATTAAATTAGTGTCACTTTCAATGGTTTGGTCATATGAAGAATCATTTACTCCGTAGTTTAACAAACTCTGTGTTGAAGGCTTAGCCATTAAACACTCTACAAGCCATCAGCAAGCAGTTGTTCCAACCTTTGTCATTACTGAAAGCCGGAAGCCCCAGGCGGCTGCTCTTAATGACTAAGTGGGCACTGTAAAGTTAGGCACCCTCCCAGAGTTAAGCTATAAAGACCAATCCCCGGGAACATTTCTTGGCAATTTTGCCCTTTTCTGTATGAACCTAATTTATTTATGCTTTTTGCAAAAGCATAGTTAGCAAAGTAAGTACCGAATGACACCAGGCAGTAAAAGGGGAACTGAGAAAACCGAAACCGGCATTCTCATAACTTCTAGATGCCAGGCTGGCCTGTTCTATGTTCTACACCCTGTGGCCTTTATGAGAAAACTTACCACTAAGCCCCATGCAGGCACAACTTGGTACGGCATGTGCTGAGTGAGAACAAAGAAACAATCATAAAGTGTTAGCCTGAGGACTGAGCCAGGACCTTCCTTCCTGGAGAGAAGCAGCGCCTTCTAGCAGAAGACCACAGAGTCTGCACTCTGAAGAATTTTTTGCTTGGGTCCTTGCACTTAGACACTGGCCAAGTCACTTAACCTTTCCTGATTCTGAAACTTCCCCATTTCCTCATGTGCAAGAGAGAGGTGACACCTTAACTCAGTGTCTGGTATAAAATCAGTGGATGAAAAAATTCCCAGTAACTGCAAGGCACCATTCAAATGATGGATGCTACAGTATATAATAATACCATCATACATAGGAGGAGCAGTGATATTAGCCACTGTGAGAGTTCTGGGTAGCAGAACCAAGCCTCCTCAACTAAAAGCCAACGTTTCGGATTAACACAAAAAGATTCTATTAGGTAAACTCAGATTTTAGTGTTCAAAAATTCTTGGCTTTTTTCATGTGTGAATAAGCTTTACCCTTTTTTCTTAGCTAACAATACTCCCGTGTCAATCACACTGATGAGGCTGGTCTGTTTCTCATGTGGCTTCAAGATCCTGATGGTATTTCCCCATTCATAAAAATATAGGATCCAAATTGTGCAGAAGTCCTCAAAATGAAAGGAAACCGCTTTCCTGTGATTTCCTTCATTCCCCACTAGGACTTTAACAAACCCATGATCTCGTGACCACTCAGGGATTTAAACAGAGTACTTTCTTGCTTTCCTAAGCTCGGGAATATCCTTCCAGCTTTTAAAGCAGAGTCCATGGCAAGACCTACAGTGTGAAGCAAAGAAGCCACTTGTGGAGTTACAAGGCCCTGACCTGGCTTCCCTGGACCCCAGGAGGCACCGGAAAGGCCAGCACCCTGCAGAGATTTTAGTGGGTGGCTCACCAAGGTAGCAAAGTGGTTTTTATATTTTCCAACACAACAAGGCAGATGGGGCAGTTTGGATGCTCTTCACTCCTACCTGCACTTTCTCTGCCACGCTGCAGCTCAGGGAGTTCCTGAAAGGCACAGGTCACGGCCCACAGCAAGAGCGTCAGGAACCTGGGCTGACTAGGCCACCCCCTGGGTTGCCTGTCCAGGGACCATCTGAGCTGCTGTGCAGCTGGGGGAGAGTTCTCTCTCTGAAAGCGGGTGGGGAGCTTCAACTCATAAACTACTGCTTCCCACCCAGGATGGGTATTGTGACTCTTCTTCCAAGTATTCGTGCCTCACAGATTATACTGACCCTTCACTTTTTTTTTAGTGAAATTAATTTATAGTAGCTTTAAAGATGTTTGCAGCAGCTTTTGAGATAGTAGGCATTCTTACAAAAGTCATGGGAGTAGGATTCTCTGTCCCGGTCAGTTGTGGAAGAACTACAATGCAAATGAAAAGTGGCTCTGCCCTGTGAACTATGAAGGCAGGATTTCCTGTTCTAGTGCAGCCATGGGCTTGGGGGTGAGGTTACATTCCCTCCCAGTCAGTGGGACGAGGCCTGCCTCCGTGGGTGCTTATTGAGTGATACACATTTTAAGACTTGCAAAGTCCAACAAGCCATTTTCACTTAGGGACATGATAGAGCAACAAGGGCTGGGTTCTCCCTAATGTTTGAAAAAGTGGTTGCTATGCGATGGAAAAGAGCCACGCAGGACAAAAATGTCTGGAAAACGCAACGCAGCCCTCTGGTTGCCTCAGCTTCTTGCCTGAGGGGCAAGGTCTGCAGGCTGTGGGAACGGAGGGGGGCTCCCAGCTCTTCAGTCCCTTTGGGCTGAGGAAACACAGTGGGGAGTTCATTCCAGGGACCAAGTCAGCTAGAATTAACAGCACAAGAGTGCTGGAGAGAAAGGGCCCGCCACCCAAATCCAACCGAACGTGGTCAGCAAATGCCTGTGAAGCTGCCTGAGGCCCAGTGAAGAACCACTGGAAAGAAGCAGGTGGGCTGCTTGCTGGAGTTCACTCGGCTGGGCACAGGTCACTTCCCGACAGCCAGTGTGGGACCGTAATAGTTGGGGCATCTGGAAGAGTAGTTGGAAGGTTATTGGCGTTTACTGTGGGGTCAAATTAGCTCTTAACTAAAGGCTGCACTGATTCTGCCCAACAAAACATTACAAGCAAGCCTGGAAAGAATTAAAATGCTTCCAAGTAACTTAGTTGCATCCCACAAAAATATATATAAAATATGCAAAAAGGAGAGGGAGGCAGTTTAAATGAGCCTCATTCCTTACAATAAATGCATGTGTGTATATATATAAATGTAATTTATATAGTCATAACATACAATTGAATAATGTATCTTACATATCTTTCCGGTACCTAGCAAGTTAAATTTCAAAATGTCCGGGATACAAAAGTTACCAGATGTACAAAGAAGCAGGAAACGACAACCCCATAATGAAAAGAAAAACCAGTCAACAGAAACAAACTCAGGCATGACACGGATGGTAGAATTACTGGACGAGAACATTGAAGCATCATAAATACACTCACATATTCGAAAGGGGAGGGGAAAGACTGACCTGCTAAGTAGAGGTTTGGGGACTATGAAAAAGCCCTCAGGTGATCTCACCGTGGTGAGAAATACAATGTCTGAGATGAAAAACGTGCATTAACACACCATGAGACATTAAAGAATAAAAGACCAGTAAACTGGGAGGCGAAGAGAGAAACGACTGGAAGGAGACAGGAAACACCAACACACAGGAAGTGGAAGAATGAAAGGTGGGTGGGAGAGGAGGGAGAAAAAAATAAAGAAGTAACTGAAAATTTTACAAATAGGAAAACTCCACAGGCTTATATAAGACAACATGATCAACGGACGGGAAATGTCCAGAACACCCCACCCAGCAGCAGATGCTCGATCTTTTCAACTGCACCTCGGACGTTGTCAAGAAGCCGTAGGCTGGGCCGTGAGTCAAGTCTCAGTAAATTTTACAAAATATAAATTGTACAAAATATTTCTCTGACCACATGGAATGAAATAGAAATCAACAATATAAAGATATCTGGAATTCTAATACTTGGAACCTAAACAACATAATTCTAAAGATACAGATCAAAGGAGGACTCAAAGGGGAATAAAAGTGAGACATGGAAGTTTGTGGGGTACACTAAAGCAGGACTTAGATGGAAAAATAAAGTATTTACAGCACTAAACATTTTATTAGATAAAAGGATCTCAGCTCAGTGTCTTAAGTTCCTACCTATGTACGCTAGAAAGAGTAAATGAAACCCAAAGCGAATTGGGAAAAAGAGTAAATAAATAAGAAAGCCAAAAGCCCC